ACACACACACACACACACACACACTCCCTTTTTTCTCTTCTTATTCACTATCATAACCTACTTCTAATATTACGCTTCTTGCTGATTCATTCAACATTCAGAGGACGGACAGCACGCGTGACTCCTTTGAGTCAACAGAAAGCGTCTTAGTTGCATTTTTAAACCCCATTCCCAGTAATTCTGAAAGCATAATTTGTATACTCATGCAGAACACACCCATGAATATAGGACAAGGTTTTTAGATGTTATTATATTTATTGGGTTTATTTGCTCGTTGTTGTTTTGTTTTTTTGTTTTTGGTTGGGGGGTATTTGTTTGTTTGTTTGTTTGTTTGTTTGTTTGTTTATTTGTTTGTTTTGTAATAATGTAAGAAATTAACGTATAACAAAAATGAAAATTAAGAACTATGATGGACAAGATTTGCGGGGAAAAGGACTCCCATGGACACATAAATCTTTCGACTGCTAAATTTTTGGGAGACGGGCTTTAGATATGAAAGCCCTACTTCTGAAATGTACATACTTTCTTCCTAGGCGTTGCCCGTCCACAACGAGATGTAGCCCTCCAACAACGACCTCCTCTCTATTCTATCCGTTGTTCCGTGTATCCGAACACTACCCATCCACTCTCTGATGTCATCGTGCAACTTTTTTTCTGGTTTGCCTCTTGAAATATTATATCAACTTACTGTATATCAAATGGGGTTTTCGCCACGCCATACCATACAGATATGAAAAAAGACACATAATATAGGTTTTCTAGAAATTTGAAATCTAAGTTCAGGTGATTTTCTGGTTAGATTATTATTTCTTAACTGACAACGGATAAGGGCACATTACTTTACGACGACTTCGTACTTGCTGAAAACAGGTAGCTTTTACCGGAATTTCATTCATTTAATGCATAATTATGGAAACGGATTCACTTCTTTTGATTTAATGATTAATATTATGGTGACGTATTATATGTCAATTAATTTTAGAATTCAAACCAAAGACAGCCCCGGTCTAGTGGGTTTATCCCCCTCAGAGATAAAGAGGCGTGTACAGAAATAGTTTGGCTTGTATATTAT